TTGGATACTTCTATAGCTGGGTTGGTTTCTGGGTTATATCGTCATGTGTGTTGATGGTCAGTTGTTGTTGGCTGTTGTTGCTTCTCTGTCCAAAGGGCTCCCTTTAGCATCTCTTGTAAGGTTGGTCTGGTTTTAACAACTTCCCTTAATTTCTGCTTATCTGGAAATGTCCTCATTTCACCATCATATTTGAGGGACAGTTTTGCTGGGTACGTAATTGTTGGTTGGAAATTTTTCTCTTTCAGGGTTTTATATGTATCATCCCATTGTCTTCTTGCCTGCCTAGTTTCTGTCAAGAAATCCGAGATTAGTCTTATTGGTTGCCCCTTGTGGGTAACTTTTTGTTTTTCCCATGCTGCTCTCATGAGTCTTTGTCTTTGGTTTTGGTAAGTTTGATGATGATATGTCTTGGGATTTTCTTTTGGGGTCTATCCTGTTTGAGGTCCATTGGACTTCCTGAATGGATATATTCTTATTTTTCATCATACCAGGAAAATTGTGTTCCAACAAATCTTCAGTGACAAATCTCTGTGGTTTTATTTTTCTCTTCCTGTCCTGGAATTCCAGTTACACATAGCTTGTTATTCCTTTGGATGGTATCCCAGATGAACCTCAGGCTTTCTTCATTTTCTTTTGATCTTTTTTCTGATTTATCCCTTCCCAAAGAAGTATTCAGGTATTTGCCTTCAATCTCCCTAATTCTTTCATTGATTCAATTCTGCTCCTTTGCCCATTCAATCAATGTCTTATTTATTTCTGAAAATTTGGTATTAATCTTTAGATTTCTGTGTGTAGATTTTGTATCATTTCTAATTTTTCATTTTGTTCTTGTATTGTCTTTTGAAATTGTTCTAGGATTTTCTCTGCGTTTTCCTTGATCTGTCTCTCAATTCGTTGAAGATACCTAAATATAATTCTTTTGAATTCCTTATCAGGGAGTTCCAATGCTGTGTCTTCCTCAGGGATGTGTTTGGGTCCATATCCTGGTCCCTTGTTTCTCCTGCTTTATCCTACTTCTTTGTATGAACTGTGATGCTCTCTTGTCTCTGAGGCATTGTGATGTTTTTGTGTTTATATTTAATTGGTGATTGTATGTTGGAGTGACTTGCCCACGATTTTCATTTTGTTTTGTTTGTATGTTATCTGTGCAAGCAGGGTACTGTACTCCTCTATTCGCTAGTTGACAGCACTTATACACTCACCACCTGTCTCCTTTCCTGTTGTCAGCCTCTCTTATGTCCCTGCCAACCTTGGCAAACAGAGGCTATTCTTAGGCCCCTGGAATCCAAATGAGAATGCTATCACTTTAAAATCCAAAATGGTTGCCACTTGTAGAAATTCAAAATGGCTGCACCCTCTGGACAGTGGAAAGTTAACAGCTCAGGTTGTCTCCCTCCTTGCTGTTTCCCTTCCTAGTTCTAGGCCACCAGTGCAGTCATCCCTCCAGCCCTTGGTGACCAGGGCTGATCTTTAGGTCAGTTGTCAAGTCCCAACACCACTTGGAAATATTCAGGCTATTGGTCCCATCAGAGTAGCTGATAGTCCACAGCTCAGACTGTCTCTGTACTCAACTGTTTTCGTTCAGATTTTTCCACTAAATGGTGCCTGATCCACTTCTATATAGCTCCTTTCAAAGCTCAGGGCTCCAGGACTATCTTCTGTATCTCTGTCAATTGATTTTTCTTTTCTTTGTTGAAGAGGGTCTGTGTCGCTTTTCTGCCTATTCCTCCGTCTTACCAAAGTCCCTCCCAAGATACTTCTTGCAGTCACGCTACACGTTCTATTTCCTTAAACAACTTTTTTTTTTTTTTTTTTAAATTGTGATTTGGGTGAAAGTTTACAGAGCAAATTCACTTTCCATATAGCAGTTCACATACACTTTGTCTCATGACATTGACTATAATTT